ATCTTCCCCGCGCATCACCCCGGGCCACTCCCAGAGTCTCCTGGCACTCAACACGGGGGCGTCCAGTTATCGTCCTTCGGAAGCACAGGTATTGGTGACAGTTTGAGATGACGTCCCCTCAGCAGCATCCCCTAACGGGAACATTTGGCTCTTAGACTTTACACACCTGACTCTCATGGATATTTTGAATGAATCCCCAGTCCCGGTTTCAAGTTTAGTCGTCCTAATATAATAAACATTTAACTTCCCAGATTTTACTTTATTTATTGAACACAGTTATTACTGAGGTACCGCCAATGAATAAGCTAGTTAATATTTGACCCAAATATTTTAATGCACCCAATGCAGCCATTTAGACAGGATTCTGAATGCAGGGGAAAACGCTAATGAATTAATATTCAAGCAAGGATGGAAATTAGTATAACCAAAGCAATTATAAGTTAATGTTCCCATCGAGGCTAAGTGAGTTATCTCATTGATTTCAGGAACTGTTTGTGTTTTGTTTCCATCATAATAAAATATGAGTAGAACCTGATGTGTTTAATTCATAGTAAATAATGTTTATTAATCAGCAAATGTCATGAAGTAGATTGTACAGAGAGAATGTTTTCTTTCTAAAAGCAGACCTCACACAACAAGGTGAAGAGATGTTTCTTAACTATGTCACATCACCGTTTAGAGGTGAAGTGCATTTTGTCCTTTCTGTTTACTTATATTATTACATGTCAAGCAAATACTTGCAAAATGCTTCATGCTTACTGAACTTTCAGTTGTAACTAAGGCATGTGAAAACCATGATGGCAAAAAGTGCTATTTTTAGTGTTGAATGGGTCTTACTTTTTATTTTTTAAATCAATTATAGCAAATCCTGTAATTTAATTGTCTCTTAATAGCTTAAATCAAACATTTTCAAAGTAATGAGTTAGAGAGACATTTATTTGCATGTTCCTCAAGCGGAATGGTATATCTAAGATCATAGTGTCCTAAAAAAATATGAGATATGTGACCACTGTATAAAAGAAATAGCTATCTTGAAAAATTTGCAGCCGACTCAATAAGACACATGATGGAATTACTTAACATACATGTTTTAAAAGTTCCATAGTGTAATAATTATTATAGCACATAAGATTGTACTATGAGATTATATTCATAACATTATTTTCATGCTAAATAGTGTACTCAATGTAATGATCCTAATATGAACATTTAATAAATAATTTTAAAATAAATTTATGGTTAATTACCTTTATAAATATTATCTACACTAATTTCCCTATTTTATGGGAAAGGCCAAGTAAAATATATACATAAAGAGAAAACAGTTTGTAAAGTTACCTTTAATCACTATAGAGTTAAAAATAAAAACACTCAATGTACGTGACTTGGATTAAAATATGATGGGACCCACAGTATGTGATTGCTGACTCACTTCATGCTATTTTCCAGCTGAGCAATTCCTTCCCTCTAAAAGCAAATTCATAAACTATCCTGTGATAACACTTATTCCAAATCTAGTAATTTGTTTACTTAACATTCATCTGCTATTTTAATTAGCAGCTCTTGGTATATCAAAAAAGCCTTCTTAAATCAGAAAGAAGAATTATATTTAAATCCATTCTTTGTAAAAGTATCTACTAGAAGTGTTCTCTTTATATGGTATGGTTTACTAACTAGGACATGTAAATAAGTATAGCACTAGGTAAAATTTAAGAACATTAACTTAAGTATAATGTATGACTATGAAGTGGATGTAATTTATTTGGGTATATTTAATATATAATGTAGAAGTAATATATATGTATAATGTATGTGAAATATAAATAAAAAGTACATGAATGCCAGGTAGATATTGGAATACATCCGCAAACAAAATAAGTGTAATAGTAATAAATGAGTTGTAAAATACATTAGGTGGTGATTGATGCTGTAACAAAGATACAGGAAAGAAGGGAGGGAGAGAGAGTGGGAGGGAAAGAGGAAGGGAAAGAGACAGAGAAGAGGGTCCAAGTGTCCATCAGCAATCAGTAGTTTGAAAAGATTCAGTATTAAATAGGGGAGACTTCATTGAGAAGGTGAGATTTTAGCAAAGACTTAAAAAAGGTAAGGGGCAGGCCTAGTGGACTTATTTTGTAGAATTTTATTTTTGAATACTTACAGAAGAAATTATTTAGTTCAAAATTTAGTATTATTCAAGTTGCAAATACAAAATATACCCTCACAAACCCAGACCTAAAATTTTGTTTTTCTCACATCTTCTGTAAGCTTTTGCTAAGACGTATCATATTATTTAATTTTTACAAAATAAAAACAAGGCAGGGAATGAATCAGAATACATTTTTAGTTTAAACTCTATTTGTTGTTTTTATTGATTGTACCACATGGGGGGGAATATAATCATGTCCAGTGGGAGAATATAGTTCAGATCGAAACATTGTAAATTTTTATCAATATCATCATCATGTTCTATTAAAAAGCATCCAAGTGAAAATACGGGAGTATGAAATAATCAGTGGCGTAATTTAAGGAGCACTTAAGTCTAATAATAGATATAAACAATAATTGTAAGTTATTTGCATATTGATATACTCTGTTTCTTGATATTTCAGTATTTATTTATATTTCTTAGTGCCCTGTCTCTTTAACTCTCTACCTTTTATCTTCTCTGATAAGGGCATTAGAGATTAAGTAACAGATACTTTGAGTTGGTTAATAAGACTTACTTATTCACTTGGAGGGAATACATATTTATTTTGTATTAAATGCCAAACACTGTGCTAGTCACCAAAGATACAACTTGACTAAGACAATACACTCCAATAAATTACACTAATAATTTGGCAGAGGGAGCAAACATGTAATAACTAAATAAGGGCCTTGTTAAGCACTCTGTGACCGTATCTCTGTCTTCAGTCGCATTAGATAGGCGCTAACCCAGCTCCATCGCAGAAGGCATAGAATGAAATCCAGAGAGGCAAAGAACCTGCTGTATCACGGGCGGAGCTTGCCTCTGAGCCTCAGCCTTCAGGCGCAGGGACTCCTTCCCCAGCTTATCGTCCTGCTCGTTCAGGAGCAAGAGCGGCAGACTATCCCAGCCTGGAGATGAGCCTGGGAAGGTTTCAGAGCAACAGTGGCTGGACCTCTTTGTGGACTATTTGCTAGACAGAAAAACAGGAAGGGATGTTAGCCTGAAGGCATGCGTGGAAAAGGCAATGAGAAGAACCACAGTTGTATGCGGTGCAGGGAAGCAGGCGTCGCAGGGGCGTTTCCCTGTGGCTGGATGCAGAAGCACAGTGAGAGACTGAGAGATGTCCATAGAGAGGGAGATTGGTCAATTAGTGAAGGACTTTTATCTCCTGCTAAAGGTTTATCGTTTTAGTATAGGGATGGCAAGTAAGTTTTATGCTGTGAAACAACACTGACTTCTATAGATAGTGGCTTATATTTTCAAGCCATTGCTTTAGAGCAGCACGGAGGAATCACTGGGATCTGAGTAAACTTTTATAAAGCTATGCGATCATTTAGAGATAAGTTTCTGAACAAAGTTGGAGTAAAGAGGAGGGGCCGTAATGAAGAATATTTACTGCTAGTACTTGGTAATGTTGTTAGGTGTGAGAAGTGATGGTAAGGGGAAATGGGAAATAGAAACCATACCCCAAACATTCAGCTTAGCTGCTGGATGGATGGATGGTGCTGCCATTAGTTGAGATACAGGAACAAAGAAGGGAGGTATACTTGGTGCTGAAAGAGGGAAAGTGAGTTACTTTCCATTTCTACATTTTGTGATATCTAAATGGGGACTTTTGTAGACAACTAGGGATTCATGCTGTGGCTCAATAGAGAATTCACATCTGGATCTGAAAGTAACCTACCTATAGGTAGACTACAGAGTAAGGGATGAATGATTTCATCAGGCATGAGCCCATAGCCCAGTAAAATTCTCAAGATCAACCAAGACCCATTCTGAGGAATACTAATGTTTTAAGAGAAGAGCCTTGCTCTAGTAGCAGTGAAGGAAGCTTTGAAAAACTAGTAAGGAGGTAGGAAGAAACAAGTGGAAATCCAGAAACCAAGAAGTGATGTGCTACACATAGCCTGTAAAAGTGTTCCTCTAGAACTTTTAAAATATGTCTTTAATGAGTGAGATAAGTAGAATAGGTTCCCCTGGTACTATCACTTTGAAGCCCAGCCTATAGCACTGATTTTACTAAACTATACTTTGATAGGATTCCGTCAGCTTGTGTTAGAGGATGTTATAAGAAAAGACCAAAGGAAGTTTTTGTTGTGTTTAGTATGAATGTGTCTTCTTCCTCCTTTGTTCCCTCACTCCCTTTTTTCCTTCTACTCTACTTTCTTCTTTCCCTCCTTCCTTCCTCCAAGAATGTTGCTCTGTTCCTTACATGGCTCCCTCTTTTTGAAGAATCTTGACAGAAAGTTCACTGATATCTCAGGAATGGAAAGAGTTGTGCTACGGATTAGTTCTCTCTCTCCCTTTCCTCCCTCTCCCTCTATCCCTCCTGCCTCTCTCTTTCCATCCTTCTGTCTGTCTATCTGATATGAATCATGTAAGATATAATGTGAATCATGTAAAGATTTGTATTTTCCTTTTTGCACTGACTGGTAAAAACCTTAGATTTATTTCTGGGGACACCCGCTGTAGGACCCACCAGTGCACAGTGGGAATGGACGCCACCTTCCGTAACCTGCTGGAGTGCCTCATTCAAGCTTGATTCTCTCCTGCTGAATTGTATGATTTTCATAAAGCACAGTAGTATTTGTTAGAACAAGAAAGAATATAGAAACTAATTTATGTGTTAATTTTGAAGGTTTTTGTAGAGTAACTTTGACCTGTTGCAGACTTCATTCAGTAAACGTTTGCTGAATATCAATTGGGTCAATTGATATTCTAGAGCCCAGCTTTTCTCAGCTACTCCAAGTCCCCTTTAGAAGTTCCTCTTGGTGGCTGACTTTGATCAAGGCTTCATATCTGTCTTCTGCAGTGACAAGGACGGTGTGTGCAGAACAATGTGATGGCAGGTGCTATGGACCCTACGTCAGTGACTGCTGTCATCGAGAATGTGCTGGAGGCTGCTCGGGACCTAAGGACACTGACTGCTTTGTAAGTCTGGGTCCTCTTTTCCTGTCCTCCCTGGTTTGACTCAGGCATATTGAATCTTTAATATCTTATTCAAAAAGATCTAATTTAAGCATTTTAGGATGAAGAAAGATTCTCTGCCTTCCTAGAAGTCATGCATTCACTGAGTGGCTATTGATTAACTTGGATTGCTCTTCATATCTTTCTACTGTAATTTATATTACCAGTGAGGTTTATTAGAGAGTGTGAAGGACAGCATATTGAAACATCTTTTAAAAACTAGTAGCATCTTTCCAAAATTTACAGTGATCACCTGATTACGTTGGTGTATCAGTGAGTCTTCTGAGTGAGGGGACTTGCATTTTATTTCTTAAATATGAGTTTAAGATAATAGCAGATACATTTATAAATTTAACTATTTTTAGCTTATATTGTTTAAAATTCATATTATTCAAAATTTATGAGACTTACAAATACACACTTGAAGCAGTTTACATGCTAATCTGTGTGATTTTTATTTTAGAAGAGGACACTTTTGCTTTCTTAAAGTTAACATTGATCACTTGCTGGGGACACTGTTAATTATATTTTGATATATCTCATACAGTTTTGTCTGTTCTTTTGAATATATACAAGCAATTCTGTGAGGTATAGTTAATGCAATTTCATGCGCACAGATCATTAGTTTCATTTTAAGCTAAGACTTTGTTGTTGTTGTTAAAAATAAGCACAGGGACTTATTTTCTTGTTACCCCTTCTCAAATATCCAGAGAATATACTATATATATTTAGAATTCAGTATATTTTTCAAATTGGCACTTAATTCTGAAAATATGCAAAATGTAAATGACAGCTCTTATGATATGGTCATTTGTGAATTTTCTTAATGTTGCAAAGAATTTAAAGTGTCTACCCTAATTCTACAGTGAACAAAAGTATGCATTGCAGAAGTGAGTCATGAGGAAGAAAAAAAGACTATTAAAATGTTAAAAATGTAGGACAGCTGCCCAGCAGGTCTTGGACTGAGACCCTTTTCATTTGCCTGTGTCCAGACATGGGCAGAAAACTGGATTTGGGGGATGCTGAACGGGTGTTGGGTTAACAATTCCATAACAGTAACATGGTCCCACTACCACGATAAGCAGAGTGCCAAGGGAGCTTCAGAATTTTTATTTCGTTATTTTATGGAACGGTCCCATGCTTCCACTTTGGCATTGGCTGCAGAAGTGCTCGGGAATGCCAGATCGGGGCCTTGGTGTAAGCCGTGTTGTTTTGTTTGTCTGCTTCCTCTGGTCTATGTTCCTTTGTTGCCAAGCAATCTGTGCACAGCACCACATAAAGTATGTTAGTAAAGCAATTATGAGGACATATGAAGTTTTATAGCCCTAAATTAAAACTTACTGGGTTTTCTAGATTGGTTTTTAATAGATTCTTCCTGGAAAGTGTCATCTTAGTAAATAACATATCATCAGTGATTCTTGTTCTGATTATGCATCTAGTAGCCCATCGTCAGGGAATTGTCATGTTGGTGATAAAGTGCTTGCTAAAACAATTGATGAAGAAAATGTTTTGAGGAAACAGAATAAATTAGTGCTTATTAATAACCTTACATAGAATTTATGATGTCTGTAAAATACTACTTGAGTTCACATTAGCTTGCTTTCCAAGGCCTAAATTATTCCTATGAAGGTTTAATATTTTTAATTAAGAGAATTGGTTCATCCACTCTTTGTTAATAGCATGTTTTTATGTGCTTATACATATGTTCTGTTTTTTATAATAAATACCTCACTCTCAGGTAGTAAAATTGTTTTTAATTATTTTTAAAGGCATTTGAACAGTTTAACAAATTGAGATTTTAATACAAATATCTGTCAGTGGAAATGAATTGTTTTACTTGAAATGGTGGCTTTTACCAAACTGTGTGCATCATGAAATAAATCGTGCAGGAAATGGCATCATATTATTTAATTTAGCATTAAACACCCCCTACATTTACTCTTTGACTACTTACCTGCCAGAGCCTTTTCTCTGAGTAGAGTTTAAATGGTCATCGCATGTTTTCTCACTATGCAGTGAACTCTCCAAACATCAGCTTTAGAAAAGTCTACCCTATAGAACTGGATATTTATTTATTAGTGCTAGACTCTGAGACTCAATATAGACCCTTTGAATAAGTGTGAGATTAAATCAATTTTCACTGTTAGCTAACTTTAATAATTTATACCGATTCTCCATTTAGAAGTTAGTGGGTAGATACTAAGCAATTTGAACTTCAGTAACTATAGATGGTATATATACTGACATTAGAAAAACAGTTTTATAAAATTGTAGAAGTCCTAAGCAAATTTGAACTTAAAAATTAAGCACTCATGACTATAAATTATCAAATTTTTCAGTTTTTATGAAATTGATCTATAGTTAGTAAAGCACACAAATGTCTCTAAAAACTCTTACAGTAGTGTTCTTCTAACAAGTATCATGAGGATTATTTTTAAATGAATTGAAGCTTTGCTGTGTTGCAGGCCTGCATGAATTTCAATGACAGTGGAGCTTGCGTTACTCAGTGTCCCCAAACGTTCGTCTACAATCCAACCACCTTTCAATTGGAGCATAACTTCAATGCAAAGTACACATATGGAGCATTTTGTGTCAAGAAATGCCCACGTAAGTAATGGGATAAAAACAGTCAAATGAATTAGATCATTGTGGAACAAAAAATAATTTCATGTAAATTTATTGTAACCTTACACTTATAGTAATATCATGACTTACTTGGGTATGGGGACTCTTGCCACCACTGCGAAGATAAAGAAATTTAAATTCAAAACATTAAAGTGATCTGTCCAAAGTCTCAGAAAAGGAGGGGTATGTTTGAGGCTAGAGTGCAGTCTCATTGACTTCCAAACTCATTATTTTCACTCTAGCATTGTTTTTGCACATGATGCTGTCTCAGAAAAGTGATTAGTTTTGTGGCAGCAAGCTATATAATGAATGAAGTATGCTCCTAATACCAATGAATTTTTACCTAAAGTTATTTGTGATTACTTATTTATAAAAGAATATATAGCATTATTGTTTTAATATCAAATCTCATAGTAAACAATAACAATAGATATGAAGGGCATACTAAAACAGGACTTTACCAAACTGATAGCTCATCCTGGGGATATAAACTGAGCAGATTAACCTTCATCAAGAATTCACTAAAACATGCCCTGATATTTGCTTGAATCTGTTTCTTTGCTTGGGTGACCAACGGGATATTTCTTCAATGTTCGATGTACTGGAAAGGCTGAAAAAATCACCGCATTTGTTCACATACTCAGTTAAAAGAGGAAGGCTTGGCAGTCTACAGCATGCGGATAGCATGGTTTTCTTGGCTTTGTGCGCGTGGTGGTGCAGGGAGCGTGACCGACGTGGGATGAGAGTGACTGTAGGTTCTGGTTTTGCTCACTTTTAGCCATGTGCTTCTAAGTGAAGTATTTCATTTTTTTATGCCCTCCTCTTTAAGACGCTGATGGTAATAATCATACCTTCTCTCTCTTTCCCAGAGTCATTATAAGAATCAAAGGGAGACGGGAAAAGAATTAGAGATACAGTATATAAAAACAGGTTTTTTAATACAATGACAATTCTAGCATTCTTATTAAATATTTACATTAGTTAAAAGAATCAGTATGCATGTGTGTATATACACATGAATTTAACATGCCTCTGAATTAGGATTTTAAGGTCACAGAAACATTAACTCTAGGATAGTAGAGATTTTTCCATTTTAAACACTTTCATATTCAAACTTACGTTCTCGATCTAATAACACCTCCTATCTAAAGTTACCCCTGCAAAATGGGCTTGAAAGTATTATAAGATGGGACTAGATGATGAAATTTTTCCTTTTCTTAGACAAATGTTTTCCTATTCTACTCCCTTCAAATTTTGGTGCCTTGCCCCAAGGCAGTCAAAATTATGCTTTTGCATGCAGGAGGCAGCTGATCAGTGACTCTCATCGCTGATGTTTCTCTCCCTCCCTCTCCCTTCCTCTCTCTGAAATCAATAAAGATATATTTAAAAGAAACAAAGCAAAACAAAAACTATGCTTTTTTGGGATATTTGATATTTTCCTTTCTATTCAAGTCCTGAAGATGAGGCCCAGGACGTGGGCTGAGGTGGAAGAAGTACCATGACAGTTTGGGCTCGGGAATTCCCTTTTTTGTTTTACTATATCCTTTAAAGGGGCTCATCTGAAGGCTCTTAACTCATAAATTGTGGCAAGTGGCTGAACACTGAGAACTATTTGGTGAAATTACATGCCCAGCTACCTTAGATATGGTAACTCATACACTTCCATTTTGGGGTTAGCTTAAGTCTATCAAACTACAGATTAATTTAAAACACTTCAGTATTTAATTAGAATTCACATATTTGATGGGCTTTGCTCATAAGGCATGGTTGCTAAACTGGAAAAGCAAAGATGTTTAGCTTCTAAATACTGCTCTACACTCCTTCATCCAGAGTTCTGAAATTCAAGAACTCCAAATAACAAATATGTTTTGAAACTCATTTGGTTGCAGAGCCTGAAACTAATGGGCACAGAGCTATTTATAATCTTTATTTATTCTACTTTGCTTCAATTGCTGCAACAATGTGGAATAAGAGGTATTCCTAAAGACCGTGTAGACAGGATGGGTGCATATTACAGAGTATGTGCACCTGCTGCAGGTTGGGGCCCCCTGCGACAGGTTAGGTCGTTCAGGAGCCTTCTCAGAGTCAAGACCTGTGGAGGAAGGAAGGGGGGCGCCCACCGGCTGTGAGGCGCCGTCAAGGAAGCGCGGTTGTGGGTGCCCCCTGGGCCGTGGAAACTTGCAGTCCACGCTTCTTCACGCGTCCGCCCACTCTAATGGATTCTTGTTTATCCCTCTGCCCCACACTCCCTTCAGTTCCAGCTTTTCTAGCATTTCTTTTCCCCAAGCAAGCCACTCCTCATGAGTTCATATTTATTCTAAGCTTAGGTTACTTCCACACAAAGTAAATGACCATTTGCGCTGCCCAGAATTATGCCCATTGTTGGACTTTTCCTTGTGACTACCTCTCAAGCCCACTCCTTGGTGAGGACACTGGGCAGCTGCCATCTGTTTTTAGCTGCTTGCACCCACGTACCAGGCTCAGCACTGGCCCTCCTCCCTCGGCTCGTCATTAGAGCCCTGTCTTGGTCCTTACTCAGCCTTGGGTGTGAGCTGAGTGGGAGGCGCCAACACGATGGGAAATGATGAGGTGTGGACCCCCCACTTACGCAGTTTACTTGTGTCTCTGCCAGTGGCCACATCCAATCCCAAATCTACTGCTTCCAGCTTGCAATCGATTTCTGTGGACCTGTCCCACATTATGACATCATGATTTTCACAAAACTTTGCTTATTAGGGGCAAGTCTGACTGCGAGGTCAATGAATGAGCCATGGTTAGGTAGGTGCTCTGTCTCTCCCATGACCCAGGAGCATGCCGAGGCTGTTGATCAAATGGTGTATAAGTTTATGCTGCAGATGGTGTGGCTCAGCTCTAGAATCCGAGACGTCTCTTGTGATTTCCCAAGTGGGACTTGCCCGTAGCTCCACATGGCATATTTTCCCACTAGAGATTCTTCTAACGCCATAGTGCCTCTTGTGTTTTATCCAAGTGGCAGCATTGCTTGCGTCCCAGCCTGGACCTGCTCCATATGCCTTTTCTGCTCTGGGCCCCCTTCAAGGCCAGAAGCAGGATTCACAGACATGGAAGGATGCTGCCTTTAAGACCCAAACTGGCCCAGCAGCTGTGGGTTTTCCCTTCATTGTGGAAGACTCTAAATGCAATAATTTGACCTTTCTTTGGGAGAGAATGTCCTGTCATATTCCAGATCACTGGAGTCCTAAACATTTTACCCACATGCCAGGTAATTAGATGTTCCTGGTTTATTTGGTACACCTCTCTTAAGCAGTGTCCCTTCAAATTTTATTTTGCTTCATCAAATATAGCTATAGGATGGTTTCTGTGGCACTCCAGTGAAAGATCGGACACATTTTAAACATTTCCTCCTGGATATGAAATGCGCTCTCTTGGTCCAAGGCAGTTTAACTTCAGCTTCATTTGTGCTTTGTGTTACTCGAAGTATTTTAGACTTCAGACTTGCATCATGACCTGAAATGAAGTGGAACTATTGAAAAACAACAAACTAAATGTCATGTAGTTTCCTAAGTCTGTAAAAGAAATTTATTCTTTCTCGGGGGCAATTCAGGATGTGGAGCTATTATAGTCAAGCTAGTGTACTTGTTAGCACAGGCTGTCCTAAGATTTGAATGTGAGTGTTTCTGGATGCGATTTCAGGTTGAGGTGTTTAGATAGAGTGTTGTTTTAGGGAAAGAGACATCTATACTATCAGCGATGGTAATCATTTTCACACCCTAAAGTAGCTTGTTGGAAACTTGTTTGCTGAACATCATCAACATTATTGCTAATTTTGCCTTTTTTATCAGATAACTTTGTGGTCGATTCCAGTTCTTGTGTGCGTGCCTGCCCGAGTTCCAAGATGGAAGTGGAGGAAAATGGGATTAAAATGTGTAAACCTTGCACTGATATTTGCCCCAAAGGTGAGTGATAGCTGAGAGGGCCTATAACAAGGATTTTCATTTCCTTTTTAGCGGGCCGACGAAGTTCACCTCTCAGAACGCACCACTCCCACTAACAAAACTCCTTCCTCCACTTTTCCATAACTTTGAACAGTTCCCAACAGTATCTACTATTGGAACTGTGTATATTACTGATTTTGAATGATATATGCTAAAATGATCCAGATAAAACTCAGAGTTAACTTTGATAGGAACTCAGAAATAAAGTTGCATTTTATTCTATATGCAGCAAATCTTAGAAATTAGGAGCAAAACAAGTGTTCACTCAATTATTTTAGCATCAAGAACACATATTAGTTGCCTGTCAGTGTATCCAAAATGATCTGCTATGCTTAGAAAGGGTACGAAGAGAAATGTACCATTACATGAAAAAATATTTTGAAAGGTAAAATATATGAAACGATAAATACGTTCACTGTAAGTGTTAAATAAATGTTGCAGCTAATTTATATTCTAGAATTTTAGTGGAGGAAGAAATACTTTGCAGCTATGGTGCTCAAATTCCTCACCAGAATTAAACTTCAATTAAGCAGGACAAATATGCAGTTCAAATTTTTCTAATATGATTAAGCTTTGCAAAGTAACAGGAGAGTCTTTTAAAAGGGCAAACTTCACACTATTAGCCTACTCTCCCTTTCTCTCTCTCTCTCTCCCTCTCTCCCCACACATACACGTGTTGTTTCTTTTTTTCAAGAAGAGCCTTCAGAAAGCACAGGTAATACTTAGTTTAACTCCACTCACATCATTAGTACTCTGTTAAATATATATTCTTAATTAGACCAATGTTTTTAAAACTGCAGGTTGTAGACCATCATTAGACTATGAAATTATTTTGAGTGACCAACATCTAAAAAGTATTAAAAAGAATTTTTTAGGATGGATTGGAAAGGAGGTGATTTTATGTAGTGAGGGGAAGTATTGATTGTGGAAAGTTTTGTTTTATTTTTGTATCTGTTATGCGTATCTACTGGGTCTTGATATAAAATGCAATTCTTATGAGTCATGCTCACTAGATGATAATACAGGGACAATATTTAAATGCAGGCCAAGGAGTCAGTGTTGCATGAATGGGTGATTACTTTATTTGTTAAAAAGCAATTTATTTCTTATGATTTTTTTTTACTTTATAATGAAAAAATACTGTTACTTTATAATGAAAATACAATGATTTATTAACTAAAAGAAAATGTCTCAATTTCCCGACTGTGACTCTTGTTTCTCCAGCTTGTGATGGCATTGGCACGGGATCACTGATGTCAGCTCAGACTGTGGATTCCAGTAACATCGACAAATTCATAAACTGCACCAAAATCAATGGGAATTTGATCTTTCTTGTCACTGGTATTCATGGGTCAGTATTAAATTTTTGCAGGAAAATTATTTTACGAAGTGTAGACAAAGCTTAAGAGAGTCTTTAGCTTTGTCTGTCCGACTCCTTTTGACCCAGAAGTGCTCTGCCCTATGTTAATGTTCTTCTCCAACAAAATCAAATGCCAGGTTTTTCCAGCAGTCATAGTAAACCAAAGTTGGGGATACATCCAGATTATGAGATTAATGACTACTTATATTTAAAAATATAAATTTATATAAAAGCTATAATGTATTTGCAGGGCATTCTTGTTAACCCCGTAGATTTGAGCTAGCTTGACATATTTTTAGGTGTGATCAGGGAAACAACATCAGTGGGTGAAGTGGAGAAATTCATTCAAAGTCCTAAATAATTAGTTTTGTGTTTTTTAAAAAATTTATCTTTATTGTTGAAAGTGTTACAGATGTCCCCGTTTTCCCCTCCACTCAGCATCCACCCCCACCCCCCAGGCCTTCTCCACACTATTTAAACAATTAGTTTAAAACAGCATAAGTTAATATTCTTTAAAAAATGTATCTCACAAGAAGCAAGTCAGGGAGTCGAAATTGTCCTGAGCTTTCAGAACTTCTCTTTGCACTCACGTGTGTTTCTCTCCTTTTTTCTAATACTGGAAAGTGAGTATTATTGTGAGAGATCTATAAAATGAATTTCATTTTAGCCATAAAAATTGTAACATTTTCTGGGCTCCTTCATTACACAACCACCTGCTGGTTTTAACTAGGAAAACAACTCAGTTTGTAGTCTTTCAATTGCAATAAAAATGTCAATATTTTTACTTTATATTTTATCTATTTGTCTATATTACTACTTAATCCCTAAACATCAGTGCTACAGGCTACAGATAAAGAATATCACTCACATATTTCAGTTCAAAATCTTACTCTAAACAGATACGACATCATTTCTAGAAGCAACATAATTTGACACATTTTGAATAAATATGTCCTAATAGAAACAGCAAGAGAAATAGAACAGTGTTTCTTCCTATTCAAATAAATTACTCTAGGTCTTATTGCATAAAGCATTTCTTTAATTTAAAATTTAGCTTTTAATATGGGTCTATGCCAGATATTCTAATCCTATGTATACACTTTCTGCCCCAGGTATAGTATATTTGGCCCATGCAGTATTTTTTGAAGATCAAGATTTCTAACCTCTTTTTAAAAATATATGGACTTGGTTACTGTTAGCCCACATTTTTGCATGGCAACAATCTTTTGGAGCTAGGTAGGACTAGCCATTTTGAGATGGGATGGGACACATTCAGTGAAATTTACTAACTCTGAATCCATTTACAGAGCTATCACTGCCTCCTTGGCCATTGAGTAGAAGACCTGTGTTGATATTTAGGTGCACCTATATAATTTAATGCATATGTGACACTTAGTAAAACATTTTATTCATATCTTAACTATTTTAAACCTAGGTATCACCATAAATGACAGATCATATGATATTAACAATGTCTCCTGAGAAATAAAGCATAGCCACTTGATTCACATTGCCTGATTTCACCTGGGTGTAATAAATGAATTGGCCTCAAGTCCCTCAGTGTGGGGAAATCTTGAAAACAGCCTCATGAATTGCATTACACAAGTGGTTTTTATCCCAATCAGGCCAATATCCATCTCTTATATTTTAAACATTTTCATACTTCCTTTTCAATTCTGAAACAAAAATCATAGATAAGAAAGCCTACACACATACACACACACACATACACACATACATATAATTTTATAAAGTGATTTTAATTTTCCAGTTGTAATTTAAAGAAGAAATAAGAGAAAATGTTTACTTTGTAGCACAGTAGTGCCACTGCCAGAAATAGACTAGGTACTCTTATTTCCTTATTTAGATTGGGAACCTCAGGTAAAACTCAGTGTTTACAGTTATCTATAGGAATAATCCCCTTTTAATCTTGTCATGTTTGATGTTATTTATGTGCATGTGCTTGGATAAACAACACGATCACCAAATAAACATGTCCATGCTGTGTCACAATGAGAGACTCACAGGAAAATATTTATATGACAGACTGAAATAATTATAGACAGTGGAAATGTGATAATAGGTTGAGTGAAGAAACAGATTTCACTGCAATTGTGAAAACATGTTGCACTGCCTTTATATCGAGCCTCATATTGAATCACCAAAACAGTGACAGAGTAGATGTAATGTTCTTACTCATGGTTCTGAATTTAGCTAGGAAATTTCTCGCTTTTATAGTTCTGTGGATTTCAAGTGGCTGTAGAATGAAAATCCCTAGAGGTACTTTGAAGTTGGTAAGTGGGATTCTGTCAACTTATTTTATGAGGGTCCTGAATCTCTAAAATTAAGTATATAAAATTTCTGTGGTCCATTGGACTTCATGTGAACAGTCCAGAATTCATTTAATTCCAAGGATTGGACTCACCCCATTATTGTGTGCTCTCTGAGTTTTGAGTGTTTCTCAACAAAGCCAGAATATTTGGATTGTATGACCAGAGCTGTTCTATACACTGCTTTTCATCAAAACTCAAATGTTGAAAGTTCATTCTACTCCTGTAGCGCTGATATTTCTTCTGCATGCAAAAGTCTTTGCTCATAAAATAGGATAACAGGAGTTTTCTCACATGGTGAACTTAATGGTTTGGCTTCCTGTTCATCCAGAGCGTACTTATTCATTCTATGCATCTTCAGTTACAATAGAGCAACTTTGCTAGGACATTTAATTAAGACTTTAAGCTTTCCAGGGTCCTTCATGTCACTTTGAGGAAAATCTTCATTGTTTATGTGTGAATTTTAGGGAAACTCATTTACAGGGTTTCTCCAAGCCTTCCATAACTCTCTATGTTCAACTAGTTGTACAGTATATCGACTACACTTCTTAGCCTGAAAGAGCCATTTAATCAAGCAAATATTTTTTTCCCTTTGAGGATATGGGATGTTCACAGTCTAGAATAATATGTTAATGAAATCAAGTTGAGAGAGCTACCACTTGTGGTGGCTCCATATATCACAGTTACTGGAACTAATAGAGCCTCTACGAGGTTCTAAGACTGGATACGTAAATGCCAATGGATTCAGACTCAGATTCCTAGGAAACAGGCCATATGCCTATCTGCACGGGATTGCAGAGTACCTTGATTGATGGTCCTGTTGGGCCTGCATCCAGGGGGTCACCATATCCTGGTGGTTATGCCCTGAACACGAAAGAAGTTTCCTGAAGATTGGTGAAACAACAGGTGTCCTAACGTAGACACAAACAGTATGGTGATTCCCGGAGGGAAGGTGGTGGTGGGGGGGAGATAGTAAAGGGTAAAAGGGGTCAAATATATGGTGACGGAAGAAGATTTGACTTTGGGTGGTGGGCGCACAATGCAATATACAGGTGAGGTATCATAGAATTGTACACTTGAAACCTACATAATTTTATTAACCAATTTAGTTAAAAATAAAAAAGCAATAATGTAAAAAAAAGAAAACAAGTAAAGAGTGTACACATATAAGGTACAAAAAACAATGGCAGATGTCCACAGCAAAAATAAAAGTTGATTGGTTGCCACAGGTGGATACATGCTTCTAAAAAAGCCTAAGTTGATTGCTTTTAGAAGGTTTGACCTCTCTTGGAGAAGTGGCCAATAAGTAGACTTCAGTTTTTCTGAAGGGTTCATCTTAATATGAGGTCTCTACTTGATGAGGATAGCACAGAATGGCCTTTTAAAGTAATAAAACATTCAAAAAAATACTATGTATTTCTTAAACACTGAAAATATGGTTTGAATTAATGAGAAATGTTTGGTATTATTATGTTTATGTTTATGTTTGGCTTAATATATTCAAGTGTGCAATCATTTTATATGGTTAGTATATTATACCTGAAAAAATGCTCTTAAGATGAAAACCTCTAAAAAAAAAAACCCTATTAAAATTTATTTTAAAAGATGTTTTATGTTTATTTTTAAGAAGACAGGGCATCTCTCTATGTATGTATATCAAAAACATTATTTACAAAAATATGTGTGTGCATTAGATGATATTTTTAAAAATCTTCAAATTTACAACACCTTTTGAGTATTATTAAATTTGTTGTAAATTGTGTTTTTAAATGTTAGTATGATTTATATAGATGGAAGCAAATAGGTCTGTGTTTTAAAAATGAATATCAATAAACCAGATAGGAACACATTTGCTCTAAATAATTCATATGAAGGGTAACTTTTATACAATGTTGTAAATATTATGAAGATTCTCTAATAGATAAATGTGAAGATACTGCAAAAAAGGTGACTTCGTGATTTTTTTTTTTATCCCTTTTAAGATATTACAGGTGCCATTTGCAATTTAGAGTGCTTTGAAGAGCCTAGAAGGCAATGAATGTCCTCACCATAACATAATTTACTTGCAGAATATATTTTCCCAATTAAGAATAAACATTGAAAGCAAAATAAAATAAAATGGTTCATAAATGAACTTGCTATATTTGAAGATTTCTTTGGTATAGTCCAACTGAATAATTTCTCTAAATCTTGAACAGCCTTTGATGAACTCATATTCTGTGTCATCAAAATACTCCTCAAAGCAACTTTTAATTCCCCTCTACATCTAGTACAGAAAAATTTGCATAGACATTGCTAACTTTCTATTCATAATTAACATTCAATTTAAATAAAATAATGTCACATTATATATATTTTTATTCATTTTAAAAAATTTTAAGTCTAACTGCTTGTCTCCTGTGTTTTTTTAGGGACCCTTACAATGCAATTGAAGCCATAGACCCAGAGAAACTGAATGTTTTTCGGACAGTTCGAGAGATAACAGGTAATTTTTATCAAGTGTAATTGTTGTGCTATTAACTATGTGACTATTACTGTTTTCTTGAGAATATTACATAATACTGGAATTGGAAATTCATTTTCAAAGTAACTTCTAGCCTTTACTCCTTAGCATGTGTGCACATTTTGAAAGCCCATGGAATTTAAAAAGTAAAATATCCTTGAAATTTTGATGTTCCTGTTTTTGGAAAGTCAGCTGATCATTGAACCCATGTTTTTCTTTTTAGTTTTCCACAGGAAGTACTGTTGGACATGGGTAATGTGTAGCATTCATTTAGCACATATTTTTAGAGCACCTAGTACATTTAGTACAGTCATAATAAATGATATGGGCCTATAGACATGAATTAAACATGGATTTGCTATTAAAAAATGTAAAATCAAATGAGGAGGTTTGCCCTGCCTTCATGACTCAGTGATTGAGCACCAACCTAGGATCCAGGAGATCACAATTCTATTCCTGGTCAGGGCACATGGCCGGGTTGGAGGCTCGATCCCCAGTGGGGGAAGTGCAGGAGGCAGCTGATCAATGACTCTCATCATTGATGTTTCCATCTCTCTCTCTCCCTGTCTCTGAAATCAGTAAAGGCATATTTAAAAAAAATGAGGAGGTTTAGGTATATATTTATGTGCCTTACAATGCAAGATAGACAACTGATGTCATAAGTGCATAGATAAGTGGTAAAGGATTTCAGAGAAACTGAAATTATATTTTTCTCTTTAGCTAGACTAAATAATTTTGCTTTTAAAAGAATAGATTAAATTAAGAATTATTTATATAGTTCAACATATACAATTATATTATTCCATATGTGTGAGAAGTAAAGCTTCTTGGTGCTTATTATTATTATTATTGGCAGTATTACCAATGCCCCCCTTCCCCCTGTCCCTTTGCTCCCTCCTTTGATATTCTTTATGTATGGAGTGTTGGAGCCCTGAAACTTTTGATAAGACACTCAGTTTTGGAAAAAGAAATATGACATAGAATGGTGCAAAAGTAGGAATATTCACTGCTTCGTTTTTCTTATCTTTTAACACATTTTCATCATATTTCAAGAATAATCAGTATTAAATACTATTACTAAGACAGTGATATAATGAATTTTTCTACTGTCTTATTTTTTTGTAGGTTTCTTGAACATACAATCATGGCCCCCAAACATGACTGACTTCAGTGTATTTTCTAACCTGGTGACCATTGGTGGAAGAGTCCTCTATAGGTAGGTTTATATGTTCAAAGATGCAGGTCTCCCAGATTTCAAGAGTAGCATCATGTGTATGTTATGTCAAAACTATCAACCTCATTAATTTACTGATTCTAGAAATATTGGGCTTTTACTTTTAATTCTAATGTAAGCTCAAGGAAAAATATCCCAGTTGTGCTTAAAATATTCAGAATACACAATTGGATTTTTTAACCACTTATCATTAAAGTAATAGTGATGTTTTACAGGTATGAAATGCATGATGTGAACTGTAAAATAAAACCTTTTTTATCATATTTTATTATAATGGAAAGATAGAGTTGGATGACTTAGAAATGGCACCTGTGTACAGGATGCAAATGCCATACCAGGAAGTTCTCGTTTTATCTCTGGTGCTTTCATTTGAACCAAGCATCATAGAGCTGATGTTTCAGGAATTGGTCCACCACCCTGCATGCAGTGCTAGTTGTAATAAACAGAAAAATCTGGACTCAGAAGGACATTGTTATAACATCATTTTTATTCATATAATAAAAATTGAGTTAGTATTTATTAAGCCACTGCTTTTATTTTATTTCAGATTTTTATATGAAAATCTTGTTTATGAAGGGTTAAAAGCTGATTTACATAAGGGTATTTTGATTTAATTTTAATGCTTAAATCTAAAAGTTGCCTAAAATCAATATTGTCATCAAATATTATATAATAGTATTTCACAGAAAATCCATTGAATTTTGCTATTAAACCAAATATATTTGTAAGAGCTTTTAAAATGTAAAGGGGAAAACTGTTAATATAAAAGGAGTTGAGATATGATTTAGTCAAGCATTGTAGGCAACCAATTTTACTATCTGTTGAATAAAATGTTATAAATCTATCAAGGCATATTGTACTCACATTGTAATCAACAAATCAAGGTGTTTATAATTGGAGCAAAGGTATGAGAGAATGAATTGAGTACACACATACACACAAATATTTTCCTGATATATTATCAGCAAACTATATTTAAATTTAGAAATAAAATAAAAGGGAAGAGCTTAGATCTTCAAAATGTATAATCAGGTCCATTAGTCTATTGAAATGTGGGAAACACATTTATTCTCCAGAGAATGTAAAAGGAACTTAATTATAACATGTGAACTATATTGAAATTAAAAATAATTTCCTTGAAATGATAAATTGTTTTCACAGTGTAGTTATTTAATTTTTAGAAGTCCTTACCCCAGTCATCCAAGCCTTGTGAGTATTTTGTAAAATTGAAATTTAATTTAATTCTTCTCTTTAACTTTTAATATCTCCTATCTTTACTTACACATTCTTCAACTATTACAATTATACATTTGTTTCTGAATAAATTAAAGCTAAATATCAAAGACATTCTCTGCAATATTGACTCTTGGAATGCACTCTAAATATATTAAATAGAGTATAATTAATACCTTACTTAGGGTAGATGCAAAGTCATTTCATACACGTTTATGTAATTATTTAGTCTTAACACAGGATTTCATCTTTGAGGAACTTAAGATTTGAGGGGTAGAGGAGTCATTGAGCAGATATGTCAGTGTAAATATGTAGACAGAGACAGAGATAACATTAATATTCATACTTCAAAAAATAAACATTTTTCTTTGGGGTATTACTTTTTAAACCACCATTGTATAGTATGTAGAGAATTAATATTCTGAGCACAGATGTATTGACTCAATCATTCTTTGTGCTCTGTTTACCTTATTTTGGACTAAGATGTGATAGCTATATTTTACTTTGGGAATGAATGTCCTGCCCAGAAAGTATTTATTATTGTTCCATGCTCCCTCTCTCCTCTCTTCAGTGGCCTCTCCTTGCTTATCCTCAAGCAACAAGGCATCACTTCCCTGCAGTTCCAGTCCCTGAAGGAAATCAGTGCAGGAAACATCTACATTACTGACAACAGCAACCTGTGTTACTACCACACCATCAACTGGACAACGCTCTTCAGCACCATCAACCAAAGAATAGTGATCCGGGACAATAGGAAGGCTGAGAACTGTAGTAAGTACATTACTCAGACATTCAACCATAAAAGCTTTAAGCATTGTCTCCCAATCTAAATTGGACCATGAGGTTAAAAATAACAGCGGATCAGAATGGTTGTCTTCTTTTTCTCAACCCTTAAGAATGGTTGGTATAAAAAAATCAGAATAGCTGACTTTTTATAACATATTGAATGCTTTTTATGATATATTATGTATATGCAAATCTTGCCTAATTATAAGTACCCCCCCCCCC